CAACAACAAGAAAGCTGGGATGATGAAGAAGAAGCCATCTTTAATGAACAAATAACTTTAGTTGAGGAAGAAAAGGGAAAGAAAGGGAGAATTTAAGACTTAAAAAAAAACCAAAAAAAGGGAAAATAAAATGAAAAATCGATACAATGTCAGAAAGCAACAGAAAAGAGGAATACAACAGCGGGGAGACTAAGAGGGTGGAGACTAAGAGATGGGGGGGTAAAAAGGCTAGATTGGACAAGAAAGGAAAGGAAAAAGGGAAGAGAAGTCACAAAGGCTTGAAACAAGATGTAAAAAAACAGATCTTTTTCAGAGACAAAGGGTAAAATATAAATTAAAAAGATTCTGCAAAAGCACACAAGATTGTATTGTTGTATTTGAAATAGAGTTAGAAAATTGGAACATTATATGATTTAATAAAATATTAAAGGGAATATGTAAAATGTTTAAGATTTAATGATAGAGTTTAATTTGCTTTGGATTATTGTTTCAACTATATTATAAATGTATTTTCTTATTTTAAAATGTATGTAGAATGTACTAAGCAGAATCAGAATAGAAATTATTTATTATCTTAAGTGTTAAATCTAGGGGAAAGATAGACCCCAGGAAGAGAAAATTTAAAAAGAAGAAAGGGCTAAATGAAATAGTTTGTGTTTACAGAAGAGAGTGGAGACCAAGAGGGTGGAGATTAAGAGATGGAGGGGTAAAAAGACTAGGATTACAAAAGAGATTCTGCAAAAGTACATAAGATTGTATTTTTGTATCTTTATTTGAAACAATGTTAGAAAATTGGATCTTTATATGATTTAACAAAATACTAAAATGTATAAATGATAAAGTTTATTATTGTTTCAATTATATTATAAATTTATTATTTTTTTATCTTAAAATGTAGTAGGTAGTTTTAGAATGTGCTAAGCAGAATCAGAATGAAAATTATATATTATTTATTATAGTGTTAAATTATATATTATATAATTTAATAATATAATTAATATAATTAATATAATATATAATATAATTTATATATTATAGTGTTAAATTTAGGGGAAAGATATAAAAGCGTCATACTTCAATTAGTGATTACAGGGGAAATATTGTGTTAATAAGAAAAGAAAAATAGATGATTACAGAACGGACAAAAGTTATCAGTATAATGATTTAAATTGAGATGAAATAAATAAAATAGAATTAAGAGAGTGAAAAAAGGGGAGAAGCCATACAGAAAACAGAATGGTAAATAAGATATGAAATGGTATATAAAGTGAGCATGAATTTGATTTATGTCTGTACCAAAAGATGTAACCCGGGACTAGGCTGCTTTCCAAAAAGAAGTTTTATGTTTTTATGTTTTGTGTTTTGTTTGTGTATGTTTGTTTATTTAAAATTAATAAAATTATTTTTTTAAAAATGTATGGGATACAGCAAAACTTACAGGTGAAACTCAAAAAATTAGAATATCGTGCAAAAGTTTATTCATTTCAGTAATGCAACTTAAAAGGTGAACCTAATATATGGGATAGACTCATTTCCTGCAAAGCAAGATAGTTCAAGCTGTGATTTGTCATAATTGTGATGACTATGGCTTACCGCTCATGAAAAGCCCAAATCCACAATCTCAGAAAATTAGAATATTGTGAAAAGGTTCAATATTCTAGGCTCAAAGTGTCACAGTCTAATCAGCTAATTAAGCCATAACACCTGCAAAGGGTTCCTGGGCCTTTAAATGGTCTCTCAGTCTGGTTCAGTAGGAATCACAATCATGGGAAAGACTGCTGACCTGACAGTTGTGCAGAAAACCATCATTGACACCCTCCATAAGGAGGGAAAGCCTCACACGGTAATTGCAAAAGAAGTTGGGTGTTCCCAAAGTGCTGTATCAAAGCACATTAACAGAAAGTTATGTGGAAGGGAAAAGTGTGGAAGAAAAAGTTGCACAAGCAGCAGGGATGACTGCAGCCTCGAGAGGATTGTCAGGAAAAGGCCATTCAAAAGTGTTGGGGACTTTCACAAGGAGTGGACTGAGGCTGGAGTCAGTGCATCAAGAGCCACCACACACAGACGGATCCCGGACATGGGCTTCAAATGTCGTATTCCTCTTGTCAAGCCTCTCCTGAACAACAAACAACATCAGAAGCGTCTTACCTGGGCTAAAGAAAAACAGAACTGGTCTGTTGCTCAGTGGTCCAAAGTCCTCTTTTCTGATGAGAGCAACTTTTGCATCTCATTTGGAAACCAAGGACCCAGAGTCTGGAGGAAGAATGGAGAGGCACACACTGCAAAAAGCTTGAAGTCCAGTGTGAAGTTTCCACAATCTGTGTTAATTTGGGGAGCCATGTCATCTGCTGGTGTTGGTCCACTGTGCTTCATTAAGTCCAGGGTCAATGCAGCCGTCTACCAGGAGATTTTGGAGCACTTCATGCTTCCTTCCGCAGACAAGCTTTATGGGGATGCTGACTTCATTTTCCAGCAGGACTTGGCACCTGCCCACACTGCCAAAAGCATCAAAACCTGGGTCAATGACGGTGGGATTACTGTGCTTGATTGGCCCAAACTCGCCTGACCTGAACCCCATAGAGAATCTATGGGGCATTTCCAAGAGAAAGATGAGACATGAGACTGAACAATGCAGAAGAGCTGAAGGCCGCTATTGAAGCATCCTGGACTTCCGTAACACCTCAGCAGTGCCACAGGCTGATAGCTTCCATGTCACGCGCATTGAGGCAGTAATTGCTGCAAAAGGGGCCCAAACCAAGTACTACTGAGTACATATGCATGCTTATACTTTCAGAGGCCTGATATTGTTCTATGTACAATCCTTGTTTTCTTGATTGCATGTAATATTCTAATTTTCTGAGATTGTGGATTTGGGGTTTTCATGAGCCGTAAGCCATAATCATCACAATTATGCCAAATCACGGCTCGAACTATCTTGCTTTGTATGTAATGAGTCTATTAGTTTCACCTTTTCAGTTGCATTACTGAAATAAATGAACTTTTGCAAGATATTCTAATTTTTTGAGTTTCACCTGTATATCAGAGGACTAACTATGTTGGAAAGAGAAATGGAAAAAGGAGACAGGCACAAAAGACAAGGAACATAATTAAAGTTGCCATGCTTTCTAGCAATAAAAGTATTTGAACTAATGGGCAGTTGTTCATTTTAGTTATTATTTGGCAATTTTAATTTTTTTAAAAATATATAAAGTTATGCAAGCTTTTTAAAAACAATATGTAACGTTCCTTGGTGTAATTTACAATATAAATTGTGAGTAAAAATATTAGGGCTGCAATGTAGCAGCAGCAGCAGTGGCTGTGAAATGTGTGAATATTGGATGCCTCTGCTGCTGCCACCACTCTGCACTCTGTCCACCTGCTTATGGTGCATCCATAATAATCTGAAACTAAGCATGCTTAATCGGAAACTAAGCATGCTTAAAAGATATGAGAGTGGATTTTAGGAGGAGCCTTTCTAGTCTATCACTTCTATCATTCATTCATTCTTTCATTCAACAGCATAGTTTTAGCAGTAGATCCTTCAAGTTTTGGGTTTTCCAGGACTGGAATTTGACACTTAACATTAGAATCATCATTAAAAAGGCACAATAAAGAATGTTCTTCCTGCATCAGCTCAGAAATTGAGACTGCCCCAGGAGCTATTGATACAGTTTACATAGGAATCATCAAATGCATTATTTGTACTTCTATAACCATGATGGCAAACCTATTGTACGTGTGCCATAGGTGGCACGCAGGGCCATTTGTGCGGGCACATGTGCCCCAGCCAAACTTACATGCACTGTGCATCTGCGTGCCTCCCAACTGATTTTTGGCCCGTTTGAGGCCATTTTCGCCCTCCTGGAGGCTCAAGGGAAGCCTCTGCAGCCAGGGAGGCCGAAAAACAGGCTTTCCGGAAATAGAGGAAATACTGAAATGGGCCCATTTTTAGCCTCCAGAGGCTTTCCTGGAGCCTCCAGAAGGACGAAAACGACCTTAAATGGGCTCCAGAGGCCTTCCAGAGGCTGAAAACAGGCACTTCTGGTATTTCCGGAAGGCCCATTTTTTTCATCTCCCGAGGCTACAGAGGCTTCTCTTGAGTTTCTGGGAGGGCAAAAATGGCCTCAAACAGGCAAAAAATCAACTGGGAGTCACGTGCATGTGCAGTACAGGGAGTGTTGCGCACACATGTGCAGGGGGGTGGGGCGCATTGCACTGTGGGTGGTGGCACGTACACATGCACACGTACTTAAGGACACTACAGCAAAAAGGTTCGCCATCACTGTTCTATAACTATCTGGTTTGGTGTAGTGACTAAACAAGACAGGTGCCGATCCCAGTGCATAGTTAAGACTGCCCAAATAACAATTGCATCCAGCCTGCCTTCCATTGAAGTTCAGTATATTTTTTGTGTGAGTCACAAAAAGGGCTGAGAAGATGGCTGCAGAAACCCCTCACATTTTGGACATAAACTGAATCAATTCTGTCCTCTTGGGTTGTTATATGCAAAAACAACTAGACACAGGAACATTGTTTTCTTTGTGCTATCACTCTGCTGAACATCTTATTCTCATAGTGCTATCTAATGTTTATGTATATTTATCTATGTGGTATAGATGTGGTATAATGATTTATCTTTATTATGTTCTTTATTCCCTTTTATTGGTATTATTGGTTATTTTATTGGTATTTTATTGGTCTCCCATCTTTATTATTTTTTACAAATAACTCAGGTGAACAAATTCAACACATCTTCCTCTCATTTTCCCCACAACTCTATGAGGTTAGTTGGGCTGGCCCAAGGTCACCAGCTTATTTTCACGGCTAAGGCAGGAACTCATTTTCTCGTATCTGCTTTAGCAAGAGTTGATTTTATGTTAGTTAAATGTTATTTAGGATCAAGAATGTTCGTTTTCTCCTTTTGATTAAGCTACATCTTTTTCTGTTGCTGTTTCTCCATTGTGGTGGAGATATCATTCAGAATTGGGTGTTCAGTCTCTGCCTGTGATTGGACTGAGTCTGTCAAAACTTTGATGACACTCCCTCTGCTGCTAGGGACCTCCCCAGAAATTGACTCAGTCAGCTTGTTGGATGACGTGTTAATTTCTTCTCCTAGCAAATTTAACAAATCCTTTCAAATTGATTGGAAAAATAGGAATAAAAACACCAATCCTGAATTCTATTGCAAGCCGGAACCGGTCTACCACTTTGACAGCTGTCCAAACTGCAGCATGGCAGGGGCTCTGCCCCAGTCATTGGACTTCGGATTGGCTGAGGGCCGATCTACAAGGTACTAAGGTTCTGGTTGTGGGAGGAGCTTGAATACCATCCTCACCTCCTTCCCACACTTTGGTTTGGGAGGCTCCCAGCGGTTTTGGCCATTGGAGATGCTGAGATTAACCGTGGTAGCCTTTAAAGGGGCAGAAGACCTGCAGCGAAGAGTACAGATAATGAGAGTAGGTTTAGGAAAGTGAAAGGCTGCAGCGTGCTCGGGGTGACTCCAGAGTAAGATTGTTGGAGTCAGAGATGGCAGAATCACAAAAGCCTAGCCGCGATGTCAGGAGAGGGGAGGGGGCAGCTCGACAGCTGTCACGCTCTCTAAGCCCAGCAGTCCCAGAACAGATGGCTTCGTTTTATAGCCCCAAGCCAAAGGACAAGACTGCAGGAACCCGAAAGGGCTCCAAGGCAACAGAGAGGGATGAGCGCCTCAGGGACAAGGTGCTCAATAAAGTGTGGGCTCAAGGGAAACAGCAAAATGATAAGGAAATGGCGCCCTGCATAATTTCCCACCCAAATGGGAGTTATCCCATTTGGGCCGTTATCGAGAGGAGAGAGGCAACTACAAACTGACAGGGCTGCAGTAGCAGAAGTGGACATAGGGGGAGCTGAAGAGCAGGAATCTATTGAGGCTTCTGAGATCAGAAGTTTCTTCTCTGTCTGCCCAACAATAGGGCAACTGACAGTTACTGATCAGAGCCACAGAATGGCTCCAGAAGCAACCTTTACTCCCATGTCAGCTGGAATCAGACCAGTTAAGGCACAGGAACCTGAGTTCCAGGTTAATATGCAGGCTATGTTAAATGAGGGAGTGAGGCAAAGAGTGTCAGCTGTCTTGAGACAGACCAGAGGTTCTCCCTCAGAGGTTTCTGCTTCCTCATCCAGATGTAGTAGGAGACACAGGTCTCATTACGATGATGATTTTTCCCTGCATACAGAATCAGGTGCGTATATTCCTGCTGTAAACTCCCACTCCATCACATCTGACAGTGGCTAGCTGATGGACAGGAACTATTCCGATGATGAGGGCCTCAGTGAGGCTGACCAAGACTCTATCCCTGGCTTGTTCCAACCTGCCATCTTTAGATCTCTCCTCTTTAAGGCCAAAAAGGCCACAGGGCGAGGTTTATTGCCTGAACCGCAGGAGCCTGCAGACCCTTCTATTTACAACAATGTTTTATTATCCCTTGTATCTTCTTCTTACAGCAATTCTTCCAGAGATTAAGAGTAATTACTTTTTTTAAAAAACAAAAACAAATTTTATTAACTTTACAGAACACACAGACAATCAAGGCATAATAACATAAAAGATCTTTCTGGAAAAACCAGTAGGACATACCAAGTGTTTCCAAATTGTAATATGTATATTTACATTATCTGCTCAGCTTCATATCTTATCCCAATTTCTCCTTTTCATTCTATTATCCAGATTATATTTCTTACTAATTAAAATTTTTTGCCTTTCAAAAAACAATACACAAACATACAAGACATAAAACATAAAAAACATCATTTCTGAAAGCTGCTTAATCCCGGGTTAAAACTCTTCGCACAGACGCAAATTCAAAAATCATATTTACTTTATATATCATTCCATATCTTATTACCATTTTCAATTTTCTATATAGCTTCTTCCCTCTTTTATCTTTCTTAGTTTTATTTTATTTATCTTATCTCAATACAATTCATAATACTTTGTCATTCTTTGTCTGTTCTTTTCCAGTTATCCACCCATCTTTTCTCTTTAAATATACTTCTCCTGTACACTGATTGGAGTAACGCCTTTGACTCTTTCCCCTAACTTAATAATGCTTAATATAACACTTACATTATATTGGGATTCTGGTTAGTACATTCTAAAATTACATAATAAATTTTATAAGAAAAGCAAGTACACTACAATTACAAAATAAAAGCATATAACCCACCATAGATACCATTAAAAAGCTAATCATATATACTAATACACATTTTACTCTAAATACACATCGAAAAACACATTCTTATGTACCTTCCAGAATCCCTTTTTCAATTAAATTTACCCATTGTCTCTAAATAGATTTTGTTTCTTTAAGTCTTGCTTCCTACCATTAAGGCTTTTCATCCCCTCCTTTCTCTCTTGTTTATTTTTCTCCTTGCCTTTTTTACCCCATTGTTTCTCCTCCTCCCTTTTCTTCTTCTGCTTACCCCCTTTCTGTTGTTTTCTAACCTTGTATCCACCTTTCATCTCATTTTTCTCATTTTGGATTGTTTTCTCAAACCTTAAAATCCCCTTTTTCTTTTCCTCTTCCTCCTCCTCCCCAAAGAAAACCCATTGTTCATCCAAGATGGCTTCTTCTTCTTTATTCCAGTCATCCTGCTGCGTAGTCAGTTTTTCATAAGTGCATACCGCCATTTCTAAAAATTGAAAAAGAGTGCCCAAAGTATCTTTTCCATCTTGCTCTTCTTTTTTATATTTTTTATATTGAGTTTTTAGTTCATCCAGAAGCAATGCCATCATGAACAGAAAAACTTCTTCAAAAACAACCACCCAAGTATTTTTAATCAAGAATAATTCCAAAAAATTCCAAAGTCACTAAAAGATACAAATAAACTATTTCTTTTAATACTTTTTTTTCCTTCTTCTATTTCTCTTTCTGGGGTTACTGATTAATCAAAAAGTTCCCATTGAAGTATATCTTTCTTTAAAGTTCTAGGCAGTCTCCTCCTTTTTCAAGCTCTGCTCCAAAAAAAATTTTTTTCCTCTCCCCCCATTTACAACAGCAATTTCCCTTTAAACGCTCAGAAATCCATACCTCAAATACGGGTTTTCCAATTTCTGAAGTTGTTAAATCCAAAGTCCAAAATCCTTTATCTCATAACTTTCAAGTTGAAATACCTTCGGTGCCCAAATATATTTTCCAAGTCTCCGTTTGCTATTTCTATGGGGTGGGAGAGTGAATAAAAAAAGTTTTCCCTTGACAGCTTTCTCCGCTGCTTTTCTCTTCTTAGGGATACAATGTATCTTTCAGGCAATAAGCAATTCTGTTCCAGGGTTTTAAAGGTTGTTATTTTCCCGGCTCAGCCAACACTTTCACTTCTGATTCTTCTTTCTCCTTCCTCCAGCATAATCTTTTCCAGCTGCCGGCTTCTTTGTGGCGGCCATTGCTGACTGCCGCTCCACCGCCTTGAGAAAAGGAGGTTAAGCTGGGTGAGGAGGGGGTCTGCGACACTCCCAAACCCCTTCCCAGATCCTCCCTATCTTCGGCTGCCTCTACAGGGCAGCCTTATCCTCCAGACCCATCAGGATCGGAGGCACCAAGACGGCTACCGCAACAGGGATTGCGCACAGTCACGAATCCCCGCCACTGCCAAAGCCTGGCAAACCGGAAGGGACCCTGCAGACCCTTCTGAAGACACCCCAATGACCCATTGTTTTCTGAGAAAATAGTCACAGCAGATATCATCCCTACGCCAAAGATGTTCACCAAAGTCATCCAAAGACAGTGGTTGTCCCTCGGGTCCGGTCCAAGACCTTCCTCCTTAGACAAGAAATTGTTTAATGTAGGAGGCTATCTTTCCAAGGCCCTGGGGGTGCCCAATGTTGATGTCCCAGTTGCGGCCCTGCAAACCAACACAGACATCCCTAGGGAGCCTGAGGATTCACTGGAGGCTGAGGACAAGAAGGTGTTGCAAAGAACACACCTGTCAGTAGCATGGGCAGTGAAGGCTTCCACAGCTTCATCTTTCTTCAACAGGGCCTCTCTTATCTGGCTCCAGGAGCTGCAGGAGAGAATTCCACTGGATGATGTCAGATCACGCCTGCAAGTGAACAAACTATTGGCAGCAGTAGAATTTTCAGCTGATGCCACACTTGAGCGCTGCAAGATTTGCATCCAGGGCAATAGGGGGAACAGTGACCTCTCGTCGCTATCTCTGGCTACAGCAATGGCAGGCTGATATGAGGCGCAAGTGGAGGTTGGTTATGGCCCCATTTAAAGGGGATAAATTGTTTGGAGAGGCTCTGGACAAAGTCCTAGTGGACTCCAAGGACAAAGGGAAGGTTTTGCCATCCAAGTCCAGAAAAAGTGATTATAGACCAACTCCAACTCCCTATGCTCCTATTATAGGACCCCCAAAACAGGAAGGGGATTTCCCAGACCCCAGAGGTCTTTTGCCCCCAGGCAGGAACAAAGCCAGGACAGGACAAGTAAAAATTGTCCTTTTAACAATAAGCGGCCCTTTTGAGGGGCTGGGGGTCGTCCCTTCTGATGCCCCAGATAAAATGGAGATTAACCCTCCCTTTGGGGGACGTTTGGCCTTGTTTGCCAGGCATTGGGAGGAAGTAACCACTGACACCTGGGTCCTGGAGACAGTGCGCTCTGGACTATATAGAATTCCTCTCTATGCCCCTGAGGTTTTTCATTTGTTGCCCTATCTTTAGGAATACAGAGAGAAGGAACATTATGGAAACAGCTATTCAGCACCTGCTGGAGATTCAGGCTATTCAGCCGGCACCTGAGGGTCAACAAGGCATGGGATTCTATTCCATATTATTTGTAATCCCAAAAGCCTCGGGGGGTGGAGGGCAATTCTGGATCTGAAGCACCTTAACTACCGGGTAAATCCTGGAGGGAATTAGGGAGGGGGACTTCCTTACCTCCATTGATTTAATGGAGGCCTATCCATGTCCCTATTATCCCTGCTCATTGACAATTCCTCAGGTTCTGCTACAATGGGAGGCACTACCAATACAGGGCCTTGCCCTTTGGACTTTCCTCAGCCCCCAGGTCATTCACTAAGATGTTGGCAGCCCTGGTAGCCCACCTTAGGGCTATACCAGTTAGGGTCCAGTGTTATCTCGATGACATACTGGTCCAGTCACCTTCCCCATCTAGAGCTGTAGAGGATTTAGAGATCACCATTCAGGTGCTCCAAGAGCATGGCTTCTCTGTCAACGAGGCCAAAAGCCATTTCACTTCCACCAATACCTTACTCCATCTGGGAGCTGTTATAGATACTAATTCCTGCAAGGTGTCCTTATCCCAAGAATGTCAGGAGAGTATCAGGGAGTTAATTGGACAAGTGAAATATAAACCTAGGGTATCCCTGGCTACGCTTTCTAAGCTCTTGGGGAAAATGATATCTTGCAATAACACAGTGCCATGGGCTAGACTGCGTGCCAGATCACTCCAATGGTTCCTTCTACCTTATCAGAAGACAGGTAGGAATTGTTCCCTCTTACAGGTCAGATTAACTCGATTGGTCCTTAAGTCTTTAAGATGGTAGTCATCTGAGGCGCTTTCCATGAGATTCAGTTCCATGGGAACTGAATAGGTTAGTGCTGACCACAGATGCCAGTCTTCATGGCTGGGGTGCCCACATTCAATCCAGGGTGCTCCAAGGACAATGGTCTCAGGCAGATTTGCACCATAATATTAATTGGTTAGAGCTTCGAGTGGTCCATCTGGCTCTGAGACAATTAGAGGATGTGGTCTCAGGTAAGGATATCCTAATCTTGACTGACAATGTGTCAACCAAGGCACACATTAACCACCAAGGTGGGACTTATTCAGGGCCTCTGATGCTGGAGGCAGAGCAGCTCGGTTTATGGGCAGAGAGACACCAGGTGTCATTCAGAGCTGAGCACATTGCAGGCATGGCCAATGTTGAGGCTGACTGGCTTAGCAGAGCCACCATTGACCATGCAGAGTGGCGTTTGCATCTCGATTTGTTTCAGGAGCTGTCGGAGTGCTTTGGATGCCCAGCAGTGGATCTCTTCGCTTCCCAGAACAACACACAATTCCAGCGATTCTATTCCAGGTTTGCGGTTCTGGGGGCAGAAGGAATGAACGCCTTACGTAGCCCTTGGCCACAGGAGCTCCTGTATGCTTTTCCTCCTCTACCCCTGATCCCGAGGGTCATCCAGAAACTGTTGGGAAAGAGCAGAGCTTATCCTTGTAGCTCCTCATTGGCCCAGGAGGCTACGGTTTGCAGACTTAGTAAACCTTTCCATTTCCAGACCTTGCAGGATACCAGAGGACAGAGTGTCACTCAGCTAGGGGCCAAGTGGCTTCACTTGGCCATCTGGAGATTGAGCAGGGATCTCTGATCTGGGACAATTATTCCTTCAGAGTAATAAGAATTATCCAGGCCTCCAGGAGACCCTCCACCAACCACATCTATGATGCAACCTGGAAAGCTTTCAGTGCATGGTGTTGTAAGTATGACATTGTCCCTTCTGGGGCCTCAATTGCCCAGGTGCTGGACTTCCTCCAAGAGGGCCTGGCTTTCACCTAATACTCTGCAGAGGCAGGTTTCAGCCTTGTCCTCTGTTCTATCCTTGGGGGGAGTGGAATCTTTGTCTAGACACCCCACAGTTCTCAGGTTTCTGAAGGGGGCTACAAACCTGAGGCCTCCAGTGGTTCATCAATATCCAACATGGGACCCCTCTAAAGTACTGCAGTCATTGACTGAGGCCCCATTTGAACCACTGAGGTCAATTCCCTTGCAGATTTTATCTTGTAAGGTAGCCTTTCTGGTAGTGATCACCTTGCCAGAAGGATTTCGGACCTGGCAGCCTTGTCTGTCAGGAAAGACCTTTGTGTATTTCACACCAATCGAGTTGTGTTAAGACTAGACCCTTTGTTCATGCCAAAGGTGAACTCGTGTTTCCACAGACCCAAGAACTAATTTTACCTGACCTTTGTCCGCATCCTGTGCACGGGTTAGAAAGACGATGGCATACTCTGGACGTTTGGAGGACGTTGAGGATTTACATCAAGAGGACATCATCCTTCAGGAGGTCTGAATCCCTCTTTGTTTCCTTTCAACCTTCCACCATGGGCTGCAAGGTAACTCCAACGACTGTGGGGAGATGGATAAGACTTTGCATATCCAAGGCCTACCAAACACAGAGACTTGCAGTTCCTCCAAGGATAACAGCGCACTCAACAAGAAGTGCGGCAACATCGACAGCATGGGCCACTCAGGCTTCTCTGGAGGAGATTTGCAGGGAGGCTACCTGGGCCTCTCCTCCATTTATCAGGCACTATAAGCTGGACTCATTTGCTTCTGCTGAGGCAGCTTTTGGATGGAGGGTTCTGCAAAAGGTCCATTCTGTATAAGGGACTCGGACCGCACTAGGCCCACCCATAGGACAGCCGGCTTTGATTGTCCCAATCCTGAATGCTTTCTCCACCACAATGGAGAAGGGTTGTTGGTCCTGACCTGATACAACCTTTCTTTTTGTGTGTAGATAGCATTCAGTCCCACCCTTTCGTGGTGCGTTCCAAATGTAATGGTGTGTATTATACTTATAGGAGAACATGTCAGTCTGTCACTATTCGCCAATTTCTGGGGAGGTCCCTAGCAGCAGAGGGAGTGTCATCAAAGTTTTGACAGATTCAGTCCAATCACAGGCAGAGACTGGTCACCTAATCCTGAATGCTATCTCCACACAAAGAGAAAGGTCGTATCAGGTCAGAACCAATGACCCTTTTCATAATTTCCCCTTATTTTGAAAAAAACACAGTAAAACAAACTTACCATCACTGCCTAATTGAAATATTTTAATTTCAGTTTTTAACATGGATATGCTCTCCGGTCAGTGTTTTAAAATGCACAGGGATATGAATATGGCACCTATGCGTGTGTTAAATACTGTCCTGTATTCTCAGGATGGGCAAACATACTTGGATATTTAGATTCAATTGCTGCATAGTCCTGATATGTAGTATTGTCACTCTTTCATGGGATTATGAAAGTGTAAGAAATGTAAGAACTAGGAAATTCTTCTGTAATCTCCCCCAGTTTTCAAAATATGATGAATTGCACTTTTGGAAATATCCAAATGTATAGAAACCTAAAAAAGTAATTCTAATAAAATATGTAGAAAAATATTTTCTTAAAACAGGTAATACAATAGGAAGGAAAATAATCATTTTTGTAATTACACAAATACATTGGAATGGAATTTTGAAACATTTATCTTGTAGAATCACTTCGGTTTTTCTAGTAACTTCAGTGTGTTATACAGAGATGTATACTACTGTATTAAAATATAGTACTATAACAGGTGTCAAACTCAATTTCATTAAAAGCCGCATCAGGATTGTTTTTGACCTTGGAGCGGGGGAGGGCGGGCATGGCCATTGTGGGTGTGGCCAGTTCAATATCACTTATGTCAGAGGGCCTGTGGCTGCCTGGGTGGGGCTGGGGGAATCCATTGTCTCCAGCAGAGGAAGGCGAGACCAGAGAGAGTGCCAAACTCTTGTCCTTCAGAGGATCCTTGCTATCCCACTCAGGCCACGTGGAGGACCTCTGGATGGCAGCACAGGCTCTCCAGAGCCCTAGGCAGCGGTGGGCAAGCACCTAGCCTGGCCCTCAAGCTCCCAGGGTACCGAGACCCCACAGTCCAGCCCAACCTAGCCCCACTTCCACAAGTGCCCAGCTGCATTTTACCTCCTCAAGGCTGCTGCTATCCTTGCTCTCCTTGTTTGCTTATGGTGTGTGCAGGAGAGCAAAGTGTGTGGGTCAGAGGGAGAATACCAGGAGAGGTCACAAAGAAGAGACAAGGAGATGGTGAAAAGGCAGCAGGGCTGCTGGTGGTCAAGTCTAAGGCAGGACCTTCCTCCCTCCCTCCCTCCCTTCCCTCTTCATTCTCCTTTCTTCCTTCCCCTCTTTCCTTCTTTTCCTTTCCTCTTTCCCTTTCTCCTTTCCTGTTGTGGCCTTCCAGTGGCCAGTGGAGCTGGCAGCAGACTTGGACAGTGAGGAGGTTGGGGAGGAACATGGGCCAGTCCTGGAGTCTGGGGAAGGTTCTGACGAGTGCTCTGCGTCGGAGGCAGAGATGACTGTCTGACAGTTATCAGCTGCCTTTGGAGTTGGAGATCAGTGGGACAGAAGAACAGCTGGAGCCTGTTCCCAGTGTGCACATGTGCAGAGCTGCCAGGAGAAGGGAACAGTTAAGGAACAAGGATCGACTCAGGGGTAAAGGCTCAGGTAGTGAATGGCCCCCTCCCATAGGGAATAAAGAGCAAAAGTGGAGTGGTGTTTGCAGGAGACAATTAGTTCAATTCATTAGAGTGAAGATCTGTTCCTGACTTCTTGCCAGGTAATTGCTGCTACAGCATGGTGTTAGGAAGATATCGGCCTAGCAACTCTCCAAGCCTGATAGGTCTGTAGTTGTGAAATCTCATGAAGGACTGTTTGCTGTGACTTTGCTGGAGAGGAATTCACTTTGACCTAAATAAAAGGGGTATTATCAAGTCGAGGAGTCTGCTTCATGATCTTGGGAGGCTTAGGTCAGAACACCTGTCCCTCCTTAGATGCTCAAATGCAAAAGGGGAAAAGAAACTTTTGCTAGTAGTTTTTGAAGAGGCTCAGCCTGCTTCTCCATAACCACTCCTGTGCCTGGGCCAGCACTAGGCCATTGGCCTGCTAGGCTACAAGACAACCAAGGGTAGGCGCTGTTTAAATTACTTCATTCTGGTGGGGGATGGGTCCCTATCCCGAAGTAGACCAGGGCCGTCAGGCTTCAGGCCAGGCTTGGTCTATATTTAATAGCCCTATTAGGCCCCAAGGGGCGTGAGTCCCAGGAGCAAGTGTTAAAACATCCTGCTGAAGATTGCATAGGACTAAAGAAGAGTGGTTGTTGGAGGTAATGGATTAGAAAGAAAATATCCCCTGAAATTGTTGAAAAATCCCTTCGTGTGCTTTCTTACATAGGACTACAAGTCCAGAGAAGGCCTTTCTGCTTTCTTTTTTTTAATATAATTTTTATTTTTTTAAGACAAACATATACAAACAAAACATAAAAACAAAACCATCTTCCATTTTATATACATACAATGTGTCAGTTGGTTACAAATCTTTTGTGCTATCCTTTCATAGTCATTGCTCATGGTTTATATAAATTCTCACATTGTCAAACTAACATACGTTTATATATTTATCAGTTATTAATCATCCATGACTAAACTATTTATTTTATCATTTTATAGGAGATATTCCAAATTTTATTATGGAATTTATATTGTACTTTCATCCAATGGTTATATATATCTGTATTATATTTTATATTGATCTATTAAACCTCTATTATAAAATTCCCTAGTCTATTACGTTACCATGTCTTTTTGTCCAACCATTGATAGAACAAATCCTATATCATATAAAATAGTTTATCTTCTTGTTCTCTAATTTCAAATGTCAATTTACTCATTCCAGCACAGTCCATAATTTTCTTAATAACTTCCTCCTGCATAGATATTTTTTCATTTTTTCCAATTCGTAGCAAATACAATGCTAGCCGCTGTTAAAACATTTACAATCAAATATTTCAGTTCTTTATTGTATATTTCCGGTATAATTCCCAATAAAAATATATCTGGTTTGTTTTATCATTTTTTCCAACCATGTGTGGATTTTAATCCAATATCTTTTTGCATCCAAGCATGTCTACCACATATAGTAATATGAACCAGGTATCTGATGACATTTCCAACATTTATCCAATTTGTTCTTAAACATTCTCGCAATTCTTGTCAGGGGTAGATGCCACCTGTAAAACATCTTATACAAATTTTCTTTATATGCAGTTGACACTGTCATTTTATAATTTTGAGACCACAATTTTTGCCATTTGTCTAAATCAATCCCATATCCAAAAAATTCCCCCCCATGCAATCATTGTTTCTTTTATTTGTTATTCCTCTAATTTAAACTCTAGCAAATGTCCATAAAGTTTTTTTATTACTTTTTCATCAGTTACCTGCCAAGATTTTATCTAAATCAGTCAATTTATCATAAATACCTTCTGTTTTAACATCTTTATCAAATCTAGATTGTATTTTGCAAATATGAAAACCAATTCATTTTTACACCTTGTTCTTCCGACGCTTGCATAGATTTAAGTTCACCCTTTTCATTCAATATCTCACCATATCTAACTGTTTGTTCCTTTTTATATATTATCAGATAAGAAAAAGCTTCAATAGTAGATGTCCATAATGGAATTTTTAAATAATATTGCTTTTTTATCTTCTCCCAGTTTAGAAACAATGCCTCTCAAACATAATGTCTTCTAAAATACCCCTGTGTTTTAGTTCCCTTATACCAGAGGAAAGCATGCCATCCCAACAGCAAGTCATGCCCTTCTGAGGTCAATAGTCTACTGTTCTTTAATGTTATCCATTTCTTTACCCACATCAGATTTATCGCCTGATAATATAATTCCCAGTTCTGCAAGGCAAACCCTCCTCTTATTCTTGCATCTTGTAACAGTTTAAGTTTTATTCTCACTTTCTTACCCTGCCAGATGTATTTCAGCACAATTTTATTTAAGTCTTCGAAAAACTCTTTCCCTAATCAAATTGCAATTGTCTGGAATAGATATAAGATTCTAGGCAATACATTCATCTTAATTGTAGATATTCTCCCAATCAATGATAACTAAATTTTCCCATTTTGTCAAATCTGTCGCAATCTGCTGTTTGAGTTTAAAATAGTTATCCTCCTTCAGTGTGCTACATCTTGATGTAATATATAATCCCTAAATACTTAACCTTATTTGTGACCTGTATTTCTAAGACTTCTTCCAACTCTTTCGTCTTGCTAGCATGTTCTTTGTTAATATCTTTGTTTATTTTCAAACCTGCTATGTTTCCATATTCTTCTATCTTTTCTATTAATTTAGGTGCTGTTTCCAATGGATACTCTAATATAAATACCAGGCTACCTGCAAAGCTTTGCAATTTATACTCTTCCTTTTTGATTTTCATTCCTTTTATTTCTTTTCCGTCTCTAATATTCCTATTCAACACTTCCAATGTTAACACAAACAACAGAGGCGACAGTAGTCAACCTTGTCTAGTCCCTTTTCTTATATCTATGGATTCTGTTAATTCTCAATTTATCATAACCTTTGCAGTGTGTTTATGATATAGTGTTTCAATGGCTTGGATAATTTTTTTATCAAAGCCCATTTGTATCCATTACAGTAAGATGAATCGCCAACTCACATTGTCAAAGGCTTTTTGTGCATCTAGAAATATCAAGGCCATTTGCTTTTCAGGATGTGCCTCATAGTATTCCAAAGTGTCCAGAATTATTCTCACATTGTCTTTGATTTGTCTCAGAAATCCATTTTGATCAGCGTGGATAAAATTATTTAAATACCTTTTCAGTCTTTCTGCCAAGATTGAAGCAAAGATTATGTAATCTGAATTTAGTAGGGATATAGGTCTATAATTTTTCACTTTTTGCGGGTCTGTATAAGTGTAATATATGCTTCTGACCATGTTTTGGGTATTCTCTTCTTTGACATAACTTCATTCATGTCTTCTAATAGGTGAAGATTCAATATTTCCTGAAAAGTCTTATAAAATTCTGCTGGCAATCCATCTGAACCTGGTGCTTTTCCAACATTCAGTTTTTTTAAAGCTTCTGTTAATTCCATCATCGTTATGTTCCCTTCTAGCATTGTTTCAATATCTTTGGATATCTGGGGTAAATTCTCTTTCTGTAAATATTGCTTAGCTTTTTCTTCTTGAATATTCTCTTGATAATACAATTTTCCATAGTAATCTTGTATAATTTTTTTCTTTTCATTTCCATAGCAAACATGTCCTTCATTTATTAATTGACTAATCCTTCTTGATTCTCTTTCCTTTCTCAATTTATAGGCTAACCATCTGCCTGGTTTGTTTGCATCTTCAAAGTAATTCTGTTTAGCATTTTTATTTTTTGTGTGCTAATTCCTCTTTTTCCATTAGTCCCATTTTATGTTTAGTTATATCCATTTTAATTTTAATGTCTTCTTTGTAGGGACTTCTGTAATTTTTTTTCCAGTCTTTTATAGTCATCTTCCAATGTTTTGAAAGTCTTTTTCTGTTTCTTTTCTTTGTATAATCTATTATCAAGCCTCTTGTATAGGCCTTTATCGTGTCCCAGAGATTCTGTAAAGATGTATTCTCTTTTTTATTTTCTTTAAAAAAGAAAACCAGTTCTTCTCTATTTTCTGTTTGAAGTTTTTTTCCTTTAATATCGTATTATTTAAGGTCCATCTAGATCTCCTCTTTTGTCCTTTCCAAATGACTGTCATTGAGTTGTGGTCTGCCCAAGTACTTGTTTCTATTTCAGTTTCTCATATATTAGAAAGTAGTTCTGCTGACATCCATATCATATCTATTCTAGACCATGATGCATGTCTGTTTGAGTAAAAAGTATATTGCTTATTTTCCACATTTCTCCATGCATCTTTTAAATTTGCTGCTTCTATCATTTGAAAGAAAGATTTTGGTAGTGTCTTTCTAGTTTTCTTTGTTGATTTCTGCGTTTTATAATCCAATTGATCATTAATTATTCCATTGAAATCTCCCATCATACAAATATTAGCATAGTCCAATTCAATTATTTTCATGTATAATTTCCTGTAAAATTCTTCTTGGTTGTCATTTGGAGCATAAATTACGATTAAAAGTGTTTTTACATTGTCCATTATTTCCACCATCAAAATCCTTCCATCATCATCTGTAGAAATTGGTTCTGCTGAAATTGTATCTCTAATATATGACCACACTCTTTTTTTTACATTGTGTCAACGACGTGAATAATTTCCCTATTCTCCCTAGAGCTGCTCAGAGCATCCAAAGTGGGAGGTGCTCCAGTCTCTGCACTCACAGGCTGAGCTTGAATTGAGGAACGCTCCTCCTCCACGTGACTCCTCCGTAGTGTTCCCCAGTTTATGCTCAGCCTCATGCGAGACAGGCAGTGCATCGACGAGCTCCTTGGCCGATTCAGGAATTTTCCATTCTGATTCAATTTTCATTCAATTGCAGGTTGGATTGTTTCTTTCTCCCCCTTAACCCTGCGCAATTGGACACCTAACTGCTATTTACCCCAGGGAAGCGTTTTTACACACCAGAGGGTGGCAAAGGGGAGGGCTAGCAGTGCCTTCGCGCTGCCCCCCATAGCCAAACTCCTTACCCTGCTGTGTTTTCCTTGCCGCTTCGTTTTTTCCTTCGTTTCTCTTGCCAGCAGCTTGATTTGTTTCAATTTGAATCGTTTCGTTTATTTCCCCCCCACACCAAATGCCGCCTTGATAGGGAAGAGCTAATCTCTCCCTTTCCTGCCCCTCTCTTTATCTTTCGAGCCTTGGCTTGTCCCCGGGGAGGAATTTTCCACTGTTGAGAGGCCCCAAATCCCTCGCGTCGTAGGTGTCTGCCATTTTGGGTGCCTCCTCGTGGTCGAGCGCCATTTTGTTTTCACTTTTAGTCGCTGTGGTGCGAACCTAGCTCAAGGAGCAGCACCCGTAGACCTGTTCAGAGCCGTTTTTTCTCTCATTTAGCCACCCTTGGCACTTGAGGCTGATCCATTATTTCAATAATCGTTGGCTGATCCTGCAGCTTGACTCAGCAGGCTCAGTAGTAGCAGCACCACACCCACCCAGTTCTGCCTGGGAAGGCAGCTGCTGGAGGCCCTAGTTCTCCCTCTTATTAGGCCTCAGGTGTTCATTCGGCTGATTGGACCCCTGCTTATTGTATTGTATTTTATTTTATTTTATTTTAAATTAATTCTATTAGCTCAAACCTCTAATTTCTTGGAGCAGGATCTAATTATATATCAGAGCAACATTACTGCAGTTCAAATATACATTTATATATTTTAAAAAAATCAAAAAGTGGGGCGTGAAATAATTATTAGGGCACCCGGCCTTGTTGCAGGTCGGCCCCTAGGCATGCCAACCACCTCACATTGATTCTTATCATATCCTGCAATTTACTCATTATTTTTTGAAATGGCAGAGGGTAATTCTTCCAGAGGACCTTCGTTGAAGGCCAAATCTAAAACCCACCATTTGCGCAGGCAGGCTAAGGAAACCTCCAAAGCCTCCCAGAGGGATGCCTTAAGACGCCACAAGGCACTGGAAAAGGAGATTGACAGACGCACCAGAGAGTCACACACAGTGCCTCCAGTCCTTCCACCCTCCACTCCCTCTACCTCTACTCAACCCCCCCTCCTCTAGACTATTCCTCCTTATCCAGGCGCAGCTCACCCTCACAGGGTCAACAGGCTCCTGGAACACCAGCTAGAGGGGCACCTGAAGCTACCTTCACCCCTACAGCCGCTGGCCTACGCCAAGAGGAACCAGTCATAGATGAGGTTCCAGAGAAAGTGAGATCCTGGATGCAGCTGGCTATCTGCCAAGGGATCGCGGAAGGACTCCAGCAGATAACCAGGCCCGGTTTCCTCCTGATGGCCCCTGAAAATGAATCTCAGTCCGTAAGATCCCTGCCCAGATCGGAACTACCCCATGGTCAGGTACTCCTGCAGAGGGACATCCCTCTTACAGAAAGGGAGGAGGAGGAGGAGGAAGGGGGTCTGGATCAATTCAGGGAAGATGAAGATTTCGATTTGGGGTCTATGCAATACAGCGAGCCCCTATCGGAGGCGGAGCCATTGGAAGGGGAGAGTTCTGAGGACGAGGGTCTCACCCCGACCAGCCCGCTTTCGTGGGCTTATTCAAGCCACACCTATATAAGTTCCTACTATTCAAGGCCAAGAATATCTCAGGCCTGAATACGCAGTCACCCTCTGATCCCTCCCCTGCAGTCCCGGAGGGGCCAGACGACTCTATCTTTAAATAGCCCGTAGTGGAGGCCGAAGTCATTCCAACTCCACCTATTTTCTCTGATCTGGTGTCAAAGCAGTTGGCCTCCGCTGGGGCGCCTCCGGCCCCGTCCAGCCATGATAAGAGATTTTTCAATCTTGACTCAGAATTCTCTAACCTGCTGAATACCCCCGAGGTTGACGAGCCCATAGTGGGCCTAGCCTCCTCCTCAACCCCAAGTGATGCACTGGAGGCCCTGAAACCAGAAGACAAGCGGCCCGAGCTGGCCTTGCGCCGGGCTCACCAATCTGATGCCTGGGCCATTAGATCGGCTACGGCCGCATCTTTCTTCACTAGGTCATCGATTTGATGGCTTTGCCAGCTCAAACCACACGTCCTTGCATCCAACGTCAGGGCACATCAGGACATCGCTAAGCTTACGACTGCAGCAGAGTTCTCGGCCGATGCCACTTAGCATTCAGTTAAATTCTCCACCAGAGCAATCACTTCACATGTCACCGCCCGTCGTCTGCTCTGGCTGAGACATTGGTAGGCAGACGTTAAGAACAAGGTCAAGTTGGCTTCAGCTCCCATTAGGGGAGACAAATTGTTCGGCCCGGCCCTAGACCCCTTACTGGTTGAGAGCTGGAGTAAGAAAAAATTTCTCCCTTCTCTTTTTTGGAGATCAGAATCCAGAACCTCACAGCCCTTTCGGCCCTTCTACCAAACTTCTTTCTCACCCAGGTACCAGAGACCCCGATCCTTTAGGTCGGCCCAACCCCAGGACTGTGCTGATTCGGGCGACAGGAATAGAAGGGGCGGTAGTTGCAAAAGGCCCTTTCGGGGATCAGGAGGCAGACTCTTCCGGCGTCCAAGATAGGCCATGACACTCCCTTCCCGTTGGTGGGCGTCTTAAATATCTCACCGGTCAATGGGACTCCTCTACTTCTGATGCCTGGGTCAGAGACACCATTAGATTCGGTCTCGCCCTTGAGTTTCAGTCCACCCCCCCCCGACTTCGTTATGGCATCCCCTCTTTCCAGAGACCACACCAAGCGTAATCTAATGGATTCCGCCATCGGCATCTCCTTGACATAAAGGCCATCCAACCCATCCCGTCCACTCAATGAGGGTGGGGTTTTTACTCTCACCTGCTTGTGGTCCCAAAACACTCGGGGGGTGGGTGGAGGGCAATATTAGACCTAAAACGACTTAATCGCTATCTGATCCACCGCAAATTTAAGATGCATACGTTACAATCCATTCTCCTGGGAACCAGACAAGGGGACTGGCTCACCTCCATAGACCTCTCAGAGGCGTATTTACACATCGCAATTCAGCCTTCCCACTACAGATTCCCAAGATTTTGTTATAATAAACATCACTTTCAGTATGTGGCCCTTCCCTTTGGATTGGCCTCGGCCCCCAGGACCTTTACCAAGGTCCTTGCAGTGCTAGCGGCCCACCTTAGGAACCTCCCTGTACATCTCCACTGTTATCTGGGCGACATCCTCATCCTGTCCCCCTTTAAACATCAAGCAGAGAGGGACACCCGAATTACCCTCGCTGCTCTCCAAGAACATGGGTTTCTTATAAACTGGAAAAAGAGCCAATTATCTCTATCTACCCACATAACCCACCTGGGGACGGTGATTGGTACGGTTAAAGGGATGTTTTTTCTGTCCTCAGAAAGACTCCTTAGTATCCAAAAATCTGTAAGAGAGATCAGGCGATCAAAAAAAGTGTCCTTACTAGACTTGTCAAGTTATTAGGAAAAATGGTTTCATGCATTTCTATTGTTCTCTGGGCCCGTTTACACACCAGATCCCTACAGTGTTTCCTGCTTCCATACCACAGATCCGGCAGAAGCAACTCAAAATACATGGTCAGGGTACCTCCAAAGGTCCTCACATTTCTCCTCTGGTGGGCCAAACCAGCCATCAACAAAGGTCACTACTTCAAGGAGCCCCAGAGGCTCACTCTCACCACAGATGCCAGCCTATTCGGATGGGGTGCTCACGTCCAATCACTCACATCCCAGGGCAGATGGTCGGCAACAGAACAATTATGCAGCATAAACTGGCTGGAACTTCACGCTGTACACCTGGCCCTGCGCAGCTTCCTCCCCCAGGTACGTGGAAGCCACGTTCTTATCCTAACAGACAATGTGACAGCCAAGGCGCACATCAACAGACAGGGGGGCACACAATCAATACGATTAATGAGGGAGGCTGAGCGCCTCTGCCGTTGGACAGAGAGCAATCTCCTCTCTATCAAGGCAGAACACATCTCGGGAGCTTCAAATACCCAGGCAGACTGGTTGAGCAGGGCCACCATAGACCAGTCAGAGTGGTGCCTCCACCCGTCACTGTTCAGGGAGGCAGCCACAATCTTCAGACAACCGGTAGTGGACCTTTTCGCATCCCCAATCAATGCTCAGCTCCCGAGATTCTTCTCAAGGTACCCATCCCACGGGGCGGAGAATCACAATGCGTTACGTTGCCCCTGGCCCACAGGGCTCCTATACGCATTTCCCTCACTAGCTCTAGTTCCCAGAGTTATCCAGAAGTTGATACAGGAGAAAGCGGAGCTGCTTCTGGTGACCCCTTACTGGCCCTGATGGACGTGGTTTGCGGACCTCTGCAACCTCTCAGTGGCCCCTCCTGAAGGATTCCACCGGACAGAATCTCGCTGTCTCAGGGACCCCTTCTGCATCCGGACCCTCAATGGCTCCAATTAGCCGTTTGGAGGTTGAGCGGGACCGTTTAAAGAGATAAAAGTTCTCTAGCCAGGTCATTGATACCATTTAAGCTGCCAGGCGGCCCTCAACCACCCGAATCTACAACGCCACATGGTCAATTTTCTGTAAATGGTGCCACAAATCCCAAGTCAACCCACTCTCTCCTTCTGTTGCTCAAACTTTGGACTTCCTTCAGGAGGGACTTAATAAAGAGCTATTCCCTAATACATTGAAACGACAGGTCGCAGCTTTAACAACTGTCATCTCTTGCGATAATGTTGGCTCCCTTTCCCATCACCCCCGTATTCGGGCCTTCCTTAGAGGAGCCACTAATTTATACCCTCCAACTGTACACCAGTACCCAACCTGGGACCTTAATAAAGTTCTTATTTCGCTCAGTAAACACCCCTTCGAACCCCTAAGGGAGTCAACCCTCCAGTTTTTGACTTTCAAGATAGTGTTCCTGGTAGCCATTACATCTGCCCGTTGGATATAGGAAATCGCAGCCTTGTCTATTAGGAAGGACCTATGTGTATTTCATGCTGATAGGGTGGTTCTCCGGCCCTACCCTACCTTCTTGCCCAAAGTCAACTCGGCCTTCCACAGAGCACAGGAACTCATCCTCCCAAACTTTTGTCCCAGGCCCTCGCGGGAAAGGGAAAGACATTGGCACACACTTGATGTGAGACGCGCTCTGCGAATTTACATCAAGCGCACTCAGCCCTTTAGGAAATCGGAGGCCTTATTCCTTTCCTTTCAGCCCAAGATGCTGGGTCACAAAGTATCTCCGTTCACAATAGGCCGTTGGATCAGAGTGGCAATAACTAGGCCATACCTGTCACAAACCCTGCCAGTGCCCAGTGGTATAACAGCACATTCCACTAGGAGTGCGGCTACTTTGGCAGCTTGGGCCACTCAGGCATCAATCACAGAAATTTGCCGGGCAGCGACCTGGACATCCCCATCACCCTTTATCAGGCACTACAAGATTGATGTATTTGCCTCAGCGGAGGCTTCCTTTGGTAGACGAGTCCTACAGCGGGTCTTCAGAGACCCTGAGGAGATTTCGAACCAGACGGAGTCCTCCCGTAGGACAGGCCAAGCTTTGGTATGTCCCACTCTGGATGCTCTGAGCAGCTCTAGGGAGAAGGGGCGTTGGTTCTTACCTGATACACCCGTTCTCGTTGAGCTGCGAAGAGCATCCAGCCCCACCCAAATTTCACCGTCTGGTGGGGAATCTTGTCTCGACCAATGAACCATTAGGTAGTTAGGATGAGAACACGTTTTTTTTTTCTCGTCTTCGCAAAACTGGGGAACGCTACGGATTAGTCACATGGAGGAGGAGGAGCGTTCCTCAATTCAAGCTCAGCCTGTGAGTGCAGAGACTGGAGCACCTCTCACTCTGGATGCTCTGAGCAGCTCAACGAGAACAGGCGTATCAGGTAAGAACCAACGCCCCTTTTTTTGTTTCAATATATATTCATGTTGCTTTTTAATATGTACTTCTTGTAGTCAGATTATATCAAACTTTAATTTCTCTAATTTATGAAATACTTTTTTTCTTTTAGTAGCTAATCCTTTTATGTTAATCATAATCAATTTTCTTCCATCCATATTAGTCTTTGTAAGAGGGTTTTATTGCTCTAGTAGATCTTAGTTCTTGTTGCTCTCTGGGTATACCACCTACTGCACCTTCTTTTTCTTTTTCAATTACTGCTATACACTTCTCTTGAAATTCGATTAGCGACTCTTCTTTCCGTGTTTCTTCTTCCTTTAAGATATTCTAAGTAGAATAGCTCAGCTTTTTCGACTGTGTCAATTCTGTGTCTTTGTTCCTGCCAGCTGAACAAGAGACCTCCTGGTATAACCATCTGTAATTTACTCCTCTTTTAAGTAACTCTTTAGTCAAAAATAAATATTCTCTTCTCATCTCTCTTCTTGGTACCTGTTTCAGCACCACAATTTCTTTGTGTTTGTACTTTAACGTTTTCTCTTTTGCCACCTGCAGTATCTGTGTTTTAATAATTTTCTTAGTAAATCTGATGTGAACACTCTTGGTAACTTATTTCTCATTGCATATCTTGTATAGATACAGAACACTTCATCCATCCCATCCATCATCTTCTCTTTGGTTATCTCTAATGCTTCTTCCAATATTTCTGTCATTATTTCAGTGAGGTTTTCAGCTTTTTGTTCTTCTACATTTTGAAATCTCAGGTAAAATTCTGATCTATCGATTTCCCATCCTAATGGTCCACTCCTGCCCTTTTCAACTTCACTCAATTGAGTATCAATATCTCCAATTTTCTTATCTCTTTGTATATATCTTCTTCGATTTTCTGAAATCTGTCTTCATATTTCATCATCATCTGTTGAATATTCTCTACTTTCTCATCTGTCTTTTCAGTTCTTTGCTCAATATTCTCTGTTCTCTTTTCAGTCTTCTGGATTCCTTGCACAATCATCTGCGTTATCACTTCCTTCTCTTTCTCCTGTTGTAACATTGTCTGTATTGATCATTGTCCTGGAGATGGAGAAGAGGAGGCTTTTGGTATTGAAGAAGCTGGGGCTGTTGTCTTTCTGCTCATCTTGTAATACTTAGCAATAAAAAAGAGAGAGAGAGAAAGAAGGGAAAAAAAGAACAAGAGCAAGCAGCTGCCACTCCTCCTTAAAAAAGGAGGCGAAAAATCTTCATGCACTTGTATACCTTAATCCAATTGGTTTCAGTAATATGCAAGAAGAAAAGGGAAGATGTGGAAAAAAGGATAAAAAGGATTTTAAAAAACAAAGGAAGAAAATTTATGTTCTAGTTCCTGGGTTAAAAGGCTAAAATCCAGACATAAAAATCCAAATAGAGGGGAAGTAAAAAAAGAAAACAACAAATAACAAACAATTCTAACAAAAAGCAAGCCACTAAATATCCAAGGCTCTTTGGTAAATCAACTCACACTTTCCAGTTCCAGTATTTTCAAGGTCACTTCAATCTTCTTTCTTTCAACTTCAACTCCAGACTCCGGCTATCTATAGTTTCACAGATGAGCACCTGTATAAACAATCTGCCATGCTCATCCCACTATCTTTTTCAGTGAAAAGCTCTGAATCCTTGAGTATAACTTATCCTTGAGTATAACTGTATAATTGTTCAATGATGGGGAGTCCGATAAGACATCTAGAACACCCAGTATCAATGACAGCTTCTAACTCCCTAGCCTCCCCTGTGTTTGGTACCACTAACATGACCTTGACTGTAAAAGGTATGATGGGATCACTTATTGGTTTTCCCAGCTGTGTTTGGTGAACCTGCCCCTGCCCAGAGGTCTTCCTTGATTCTTTTGACCTCTAACAGCTGTATTATGCTTTGACTGCGGAGCTTGTGGTACAGGACCAGGGGCCAGACAGTTTGCTGCTCTATGACCAGCTTGGCCACATCGGTAACATTTCAGCACCCTGGTGGGTTGGGTTCGAGCAGTTTTGGCTGGTCCAGTCAGCGGTCTCTTCACCACAATTCTCTTAGCCGGGGCTGCTGGAAGGAGTTTCCTGTGTGGGTTGATGCTGCGATCTAAACTGAGGGAGGCGGCATACCACGATTGTAAGGTCTCTGGGATTTCCCTAATTTCACAGGCGTTCTTTAGTTCTGGATCAATGACTTTTTAAAAATAGCGTAAAGTCATTTTTTCAGGCCAATCCATGAGGTGGCTTGCAACCCTTCTAAAGTCCCAAATGAATTCTGACAAGGGTCAGTTGGCTTACTTCATTTCCATTAACTTCTCTTCATTCTCTGCTACCCTGTCTGGATTTTCAAATCTGAGTTTTAATAATTGAATAAGTCAGTTTACATTGTGTAATTCGGGGGCGTGTTCGTTGTGTAGTTGGGCCACCCAGTCTGAAGCATCCCCTTCATTCATCCCATTTGTTATGGCCGTAACCAAATCGCACTCTGTGGAGTATTGATCTCCAAATTGTTCTTTATGGGATCGGATTCGAGTGAGGAAGTAATTGAAATGTTCATGGCAGCCATCGAATACAGCCTCAAAAGGTATTCAATCACTTGAACTATTGGGGGTGGGAACATTTCCATCACTTTGTATATGTGATTTGCGCGCCTAATTTCTCAGATTCAGAATTCTACGGTTGCTACCACTTCATTTTCAGTAAAAGATATCTTTTCTCTAATCTATGGAGTCTAAATTAGAGAAGTTAAAATTTGATATAATTTGCCTACAAGAAG